CCGCCCGTCACTTTAGCGACGCGCAGCTGTGACAGCTCCACCTTCAGGTCGTCTAGCTGTTTCAACAACTCTTCTTTCTTCTTGCCTCGAAGATCCCGAGCCTTAATCTTGGCCATAGTTGCAAAAGAAGGTGCCCTATTTTTATTTTTTTTTAATACTTTTTCTTTTACATTTATTTTGTGTGTGTGTGTGTGTGTGTGTGTGTGTGGCCAGCTCAGCCCACCAGGGGGCGGGGCTGGCTGGCATGTGGTGCTGGGGGATTGAACCGCGGTCCCTGTGCTTTAGCTAAGCTTGTTCTAAGTAGGTGCTTTAGACCACTGAGCCATCTCACCAGCCCTAGATCCTTTATTTATTTTGTAGAGGGTCTCTCTACAAAGCAGCTTGGACTTGCAGTGACCCTCCTGTCTCAGCCTTCCTGTTGCAGGCAGCTGAGTTAGATAGAAAATTGTAGGCAATCAGACAGGGCCAGGCCCTTGAAGGAAATGACAACAGCCAGGGGCCTCACAGCTGTGGGAAGGATGGAGGCCCCTGCTGTAAATCAAGCCTAAAGACTCGCATCCAGGATCGATCATTACTCAGGAAGAATTATGGTCTGAAGGCCTCCCGATAAGGTCCTGTTTTTTTGTTTTGTTTTGTTTTTATGTTTTTTTTTTAATTTTATTTATGTGTATGTGTGTGTGTGCGCGTGTGTGTGGCCAGCTCAGCACACCAGGGGGCGGGGCTGGGTGGCATGTGGTGCTGGGGGATCGAACCGCGGTCTCAGTGCTTTGCCAAGCTTGTTCTAAGTAGGTGCTTTAGACCACTGAGCCATCTCTCCAGCCCTTGATTTCTTCATAGGTGTGCAAATTATACAACTTTGTCTGAGACAGGGTCTCCCTATGGAGTCCAGGCTGTCCTCAAATTAGAAGTGACCCTTCTGCCTCACCCTCCAGAGTGCAGCGATCACAGGCTAAGCCACATCCAGCCTGGCACAACCTACTGCTTTTAGGGTTGCCTTAAAGTGTTCATGCTTTTGATGGAGTCTTGGGGGAGGCCAGTGGCCACAGCTGCTGACAGTGCGCAACCTCCCGCCGGGTGCCCTGGCACAGCTGCCAGGTGCCACGTAGGCTGTGTTGGGCCCAGCTGGACCTCAGCCATCACTAGGGCTCTGGCGTGGGGATGTGGCCTTGTGTGGGGTCTTCTGGAGATGTGGGGGCTCGGGGGCCTGGGGCTGACACCTACAGTCTGCCCACCTGTACACTGCCCGAGGCCCTCTCAGTGTGACAGCAGGGAAGATGTGTGCCTCTAGGGAGCCCCTTGGTGTCCACGGCTGGCTCATACCTGGGTCAGGGCTCACACCTGGCTCATGCCTAGATTGCCAGTCCCCACAATCTCCCCATCCTTGTCATTTGTCCTGGTGCTTGGCAGCGGCCACCAAGCCTGTCCCCAGTTCCCTTCCCACTTTTCACTAATGATAGATACCACAACCCCAGGGGGTTCCTTGCGATCGATAGGCATTGAGGGGTGAGTCCCTGACACCCTATCTTGTCACAGCTTGGGCCCCCAGAAGCCAACCGAGGTGGAGTTTGGGAGGGACAAGAGCTGTGTGCAGGGCTCACCTGTGACAGGAAGCGTGAGTCCTATAGGAAATTCTGTTATAAGCTACAGTCAGGGTGAACCCAGACTATTCTGCAGAGGAAAGTCAGACTCAAAAGAAGAAATTGCCAGAAACTTAAGAGAGGCCAATGGGAAGCGGGTATCAGGGAGAGGGTGGAGGGAGGGGGCCCTGTGAGTGGCCTCAGGATCCCAGCTTTGGGGGTGACTTGCGAGGCCACCGATCTGTGAGAAGTGGCGATGACACAGACACTGGCCAGCGACCTTCCTGGCTCAGCCTCCAGAGAGCTGGGTTAGAGTTCTGCAACGCTGTGGGGCCCGGCTGCCCAGGGCTTCTGGGACTTGTCCGTTCTGCAGCTTTGGGTCTGGGTGCCCTTGGGGAAGGTGGTGGGTGTGGGTGGTTTTCCATCTCGCACCTGACAGGTGTCTCCTCACCCTGCCTGAGCTTATGGGGCTTCCCGCCCCATCACCATGGATCTTTGGTCTCAGCAATTGGCTGGGGCCTGCACAGGGACATCCCAGGGCTTGGATTTTCTGGCAACATCGAGTACGGGGCACCCCACCTGCGGGGTGGGGGAGGGGTTGGCGTCCATGTTTGAGACGCCAGGGTCACGGGGTGGGGTGACAAGGCAGGGGCTCACCATGGTGCCGGCACAGATCTGTAGCCACAAACAGCTACTCCTCTCATTCTCCACTTTTCTTTTTTCAGTATTCAGGGCCTTCACACTGAATTACAGCCCATCCTTTTTTTTTTTTTTGGCAGAACCGGGGATTGAACACACATCCTTCTGTTTGCCAGTCAAGCGCTTATCCTACTAAGCCATCTCCCTGGCCCCCCTTTTTGTTATTATTATTAAGCGCTTATTCCACTGAGCCATCTCCCCGGCCCCTAAATTGTTATTTTTTTGTGGAACCAGGGATTGAGCTCAGGCCCTTGCACTTCCCAGGCAAGCGCTTATTCTACTGAGCTGTCTCCCCAGGGCCTGTTATTTTTGTTCTGAGACAGGTTCTTGCTGAATTGCCTAGGCTGGGCTTGAACTTGTGATTCTCTTGCCTCAGCCTTCCAGATGCTAGGATCACAGATGTGTCCACCATGCCCTGCTTGTAGCTAACTGCAAGCTTCGGACCACTGTGGCAGGCCAGCAGCTCTTATACCCACTGCCTGGGTGGGGCAGTGAGGACCTGGGCGATGGCATTCAGTGCCACCATCCAGGGGTTAGCTAGACCTGGCAGGCTGGTACCCAGCTGAGGAGGGAGCCCCTACAGGCCCGTGGGCTCTGGCTGTGCACCTTGACGATGCCCTGGCCAGCTGAGGCATGCCTTTCTAAGGGAGTCTGATCTGCCGTTCCGAGCGGGAGGGTCAGGTTTCACCGAGAAGCCCCAGAATAGCCCATAGCTGCCTGGGGCAAGCCTGGCCCTCCACCCTGCCCAGTGTCTCGTGCCCTCTGCAGGGGCTGAGGTTGCTGATGCTCGTGACATAGCCGGTCTTTAGGGTGGTCACCAAGAAGGGGCCCTGGGCTCCTGGGGAGAGAAGGCGCCATCAGATACCAGCTGGCTTCGGTGGCTTTCCCCGAGAGGCCTCGCCAGCAAGTGCTGTGGCCCAGGACGAAGCCCCGCAGCAGGGTGGAGTGGACATGACTCAGGCTGTGTGGGAAAAGGGCCACTGCCGGAAGCTTCACCCGCCCATGGTTGGTCCTTGGCACTCTCATTGGGGTAGGAGGTGGTCTGGGCCAAGGCAGGCAGGAGGGCCTAGAGAAGGGCTGAGCCCAACCCCAAGTAGGGCCACAGGATTTCCTACCTGTACGAGGCTTTTGGACCTGGACCCTAGGAACTCTAGGTGGCTGGGCCTGGCTAAAACTTGGCCACCACTGGGTACTACATTCTCACTGTAGCAGCCCTGGTATCCCTGCCCACCTTGTCCCCAGCCACCAGAGTCATGGTAAGGCTGTTCAGCAATAGGGACCTGGTTCCTGGGGGTCCAGGCAGGGCAGAGAGGATGTCCAGAGCAGGTGTACGGGGGTTGAGGACCCCCCTGGAGCCTCAGAGGGGCTGAGCCTGAGCCCTTCTGCTCCAGGCAAGGGTACAGAGGCTCCTTCTGGTCCCCAAGGGCCTCTGGTATCACTGGCACCCAGTGCCTCAGCCCCCTGCGGCCCTGCTGCCCCTCCCAAGGGTGACTCTGTCCCACCTGGCCTTTCTGGTCCTGTCCAGAGCCCCAGCCCTGGAAGCTTGCATTATGCCAGGGCTTCCTTTTGCCTTAGAGAGGGTAAGGGTGGCCCCAGGGAGCAGGGTGCAGGCTCCCCTGCAGACGGATTGCCTGTCGCCTGAGTGTGGCAAGTACCCAGGGTCCTTGGGATATTCCATGAGGAGGAGGAGGAGGAGGAGGAGGAGGAGGAGGATATAAAGGCGGGAGCTGGAGCAACATCAGCCTGTGCAAGAGCAAGTTGGCCTTCATGGACTGAGACAGTGAGCAGAGCGGGGTGTGCTGGAGAACAGCCCCAGGGGGCCTGAGTGTGCAGTGGCACGGGATGGGCTCGCTCTTGAGCGCTGCGCCTGGGACTCCTGGAAGACAAGGGCTCTCCAACTGTGATGGCTTCCTGGCCCTGACGGGACTTACCAAAGAAGGCTCAGAACCAGGAGGGCAAGCTCAGGGTCTATTCCTGGCTTTCTTGCTTTCTTTCTTTTTTTTCTTTTTCTTTTTGGCGGAACCAGGGATTGAACTCAGGCCCTTGCGCTTGCCAGGCAAGCGCTTATTCTACTGAGCTATCTCCCCGGCCCCTATTTCTGGGTTTCAACAGGGAGAGCAAGGGCTAGGTAGACTGGAACATGCTTAGGTAGGTGGGGCTGAGGGGGCAGGGGCACAGCAAGTGGGCTGAGAGAGGCAGGGGTTCAGGGCGAGCCCCCCCACATTTGTGCTCCTGTGCAGGTGAGCCCCTCAGTGAGCTGGAGGCTGAGCAGATGGTGAGGGCAGCCCAGGAGGACTGGGATGGACGGTGAGTGCCGAGGGTGGGGCCCGTCTGGGAGCGAGTGGAGGACTGGAGCAGGTTGTTGACCTGCCCCTCTGCCTGCAGTTTACAGGCACGATGACCCAAGAGTCCTTCAAGCTGGTCCAGCAGGAGCAGCTGCCACAGCTACAGAATGCCTGCCTGGGAAGGCTGCCACTGCCTTGTCCCTGCCCAGTGAAATGAAGACTGCAGCCTGACTCCTCTGTGCTTCTCTGTCCCTACCCTTGGAGGAGTGTGGGGCAGGGGCAGTCCTGAGGGAGCCCCATCACTCCTGCTGCCACGCCTGACCCTACCACTGCCCCCAGATGTGGACTTTGCATGCCAGCCTGAAAGTGGCTGGGACCATGTGCTTGCCCACTGCCTGCACTCTCTGTGGCCCCCAGAGCCATCCCACGGAGACAGAGACCACTTTGACATAAACTTTAATCTCCTCAAAGAGCTATGGACATCACAGTGGCCTCTGAGTTCACACGGTTCAGGTGCATGGTGCCTCCTCCAGGCTGAGGCCTGTGAGGCAGGCCATGGGCAGGGGCGACCAGCACAGGGCTGGTAGCTGGCTGGCCGGCTGCTGGCCAGCTGGCGTAACATAGCAAAGAGGCCGACCTGCAGCAATGTGCTGAGTGGAGGCCTTCCCAGGGGAAGGAAGGGGCAGGCTGGGGGCCTGGCTGCCAGGGCTCCACACCCTGGTTCCATGACTCCAGGAGAGTTCTCTCGGCCCCTTTACGGGGCACCAGAGCTACTGGGCACTGGGACCTGGCTCCTGGGGCTGTGGGGTGGCCCCTCGGCCCGAGGGCACTGGGAGAGGTTCAGGTCTCTGGGGAGGAGCCACCTCCTCATCTCTGGGCTTTGCCATCTTGATGGCCTCATCATAGGAAGGTGGCAGCTCTGGGGCAGACAGGCTATAGGCTGGCGGGGCCATGAAGTCAGGGTCCAGCTCTCCGAAGGGCAGGGGCAGCCAGATGCCCAGCGGATACTGCACAGAGCTATAGGCTGCAGGGAGCAGAGGGCTCTGTGTGGGTGGCCAGGGACTCCCCACACAGCCCTGCCCGGTCCCTGGCCAGCCCACCACCTGCCAGGCACTCACAGGTCACAGTGCTGTGCACAGGGCTGTCACCGTCCACAGGGTTGGCCGTCAGGTTACAGGGCTGCCAGGCTGAGGACAGGCGCGTCTGCGCGTTCGCCTGCTTCCGCAGACAGCAGAACCGGACGCAGCTGGCAGTGACCCCGCACAGCAGCACGGTGAGCAGGACGAGCCTGGGAGGGAGGGGCGAGCCGCGACTTCACTCACCCCTGCTGGGCCCCTGCACTCTGGCTAGGCACCACCCGGACACCCAAGAGGGGACAAGAGGCAGGTGAAGAGGGGACCAGGACACTCCATGCCAAAGGCCTCCCTGGCCGGAGCCTGGCTGGGGCGGCCACACACCCTGGCTGGGGCGGCCTTGGGCTCACTCCCAGGACAAGCTGTCCCTAGCCGACTGCACAAGCCGACTGTGCCTTCTGCGGTGATCGGCCTTGCTTCTGGCTGCCAGGGCCCAGCGCTCCTGCCAGAGGCCGGGATTGGGGGCAGCGGGCAGATGGGGTCGCCGGATGAACCGTCGGGCCAGCGCGTGCGCGGCCTCCACTTACCCCACGTGCCACAGGCTGCTCCAGCGGGCCTGGGGCGGGCACCTGCGGGGACCGGGCAGCTGCAGCGGGCGGCGGGGCCGGCCGCCCCACCCCCACCCCGCCTGACTTACTGGTCCGAGGGGTCGCAGCCACCACCGTCCACCGAGCCCGGCACCACCTGTGGGGACAGCAGTAAGCCCAGGCGGAGCGGAGCCGCGCACACTGGCCTTGTGGTTCCACCCCACGCAGGCCACCCAACCCACCCGTGGCAGCCGCAGGAGTAGGAGCAGCAGTGACAGCAGCAGGAGCCCAGACCGCGGCCCCAAGGCCATACTCCGTGGGTCAGCAACGCAGAGCCCGCCTCGCTGGCCTTTCGTGGCCCCTGGGCTCTGCGGCCCCGCCCAGGCCCCGCCCACCTGGGCTCTGCGGCCCCGCCCAGGCCCGCCCACCTGGGCTCTGCGGCGCCGCCCAGGCCCGCCCACCTGGGCTCTGCGGCCCGCCCACCTGGGCTCTGCGGCCCCGCTCAGGCCCCGCCCACCCGCGAGGAGCTGGGGGAGCCGGGCCCGGCCTTCAGCCCCGCCTACGGTGGAGGGTGTTTCCAGCAGGGTCTCTCCGCTCCGGACGCTGGGGCCGCAAGCCAGGTCCTGTTCACCACGCCCTAGCCCAGAGGCTCTGCCTCCCTGCGAGTCGGCCTAGCCGGGATCCTCTGGGCTGCACCTGGCTGGTGGGGCCTTCCCCAGCCCCAACCCCGCTCTTCCGGAAAACTGCGGCCCGAGCTGCAATGGGCGTGGTCTCGCAGCGCAAGCGGGGTCCACCCTTACTCCCGCCAGCTATCCGGGGAAATGGGGTGGGGGCTCCCCTCCTCCTTCAGTCGTGGGTCGTTCAGGCGCTGTATGAAGGCTGCTTTCCCAAGCCACCGGCCTTAAAGGCCTGGTGTAGACCTAGAAGCTAGCGCCTCTCGCTCGGCCTGGAGCCTTTTGCTCATCCCGTGGAGTGAGGAACCTGACTCCTTCCCGCTCTCTCCCTGGGCTGCGCTGCCCCCTGCCTGAACTGTCGCGTCCACCATGCGGCCAGCAGCACCCACCCCACCTGTCTATGCTCAGCACGGGCACGGTGTGAACACCTGGAGAGGAAGTGGCCAGGGCCTCAGGGCTCTACTCACAGCTGTCCTGCCCCTGCAGTCAGTGCTCCATTTCCAGGGCCTCTGCCTGCTAGCCCAAGTCCAGCTGGGAGCTTGGTCCTGTTCCCTACCCCCACCCCCTCTGGGCGCTGGACCCTATTGGGAAGCGAGCCTAGCCCTAAACCAGGGCAGGGTCTCCGTGACCTCGATCTTGAAAGGTCTGGTCTGGCTCAGCCCAGAGACCTGCTGCCTTGTGGCTGGTCAGCTCCCGGGGAAGCAGAATGCACCAGAGGCCTGCATGTAAGTCCCAGATGCCACTCCAGGGTCAGTGCCACTGGCAGTGCCAGGGAAGCACACAAGTGCCTCCAAGGCCAAGAAGGGCACTGGGGGAAGAGTAGTATATGGTGCTTCGAGGTGGGCCAGGCAGGCGGGCACTGTGGGAAAATGGGGAATAAGCCAGAACCTGGGGTGGGGTGCAGGAGCTGCTCACAGTTGGGTACACTGGCCCCTTGGAGGGTGGGTCAGGCGCTGAAGGCAGAACCCAGACTTTTCTCAGACAGGTGGATGCTTAGACTCACACACTGCGGATGCCCTGGCCCCAGCTGGGCTCTGAGGGTGCAAATGGGTGCATTGGCCCTAATATCTGTTCAGCCTTTTCCTGGGGTCATCAGGAAGAGCCAGGAGTTCTGGGCTTGGAGCCCCCCGACTCTTCCCCGCCTCCTCACATCTCTCCAGGTCTGGGCCAGTCTTGACTGCAGCCCTGCACCCTGCACTCCAGGTTTGGGGGCTCCCAGGTCCTCTCCATGGTGTCTACTAAGACTGTACCTTCCCTAAGGTACTTGTTCCATGGCTGGCTGCTCTGTGGACTGGGGTGTAATATGTGTGCACACATATGTGGTGGGCTGCTTCACCAGGGTTCCATCCCTGCCTCGCGCTGTGCTTGTCCCCCACACCACAGGCTCTGCACGTTGGCTCACAGAGCATTTTATTGGTGGGTACATGGGGCAGCTCTCCTGTGGCCTCCCAGTCTGCAGGGTCCTGGTGGGCCTGGGGTTCTTCTCCACCCAGTCAGGAGCAGGCTGTGGCTGGACTGGGTTTAGGCAGGGGATCCTCTTGGGCTGAGCTGGCTGGGCCCAGGGTTGCAGGAAGTGGCCATATTTGCAGGACTGGGAGCCTCCTGGAGCTGGCCCGGCTTGGCCTGGGGAGGGCTCTGGCCATGAGAGGAGAGCCTAAGGCTGCCAGGAGAGGCTCCTGTGTCCCTAGAGGCCTGTTACCACGTGGGCCACAAAGATGACTTTATAGTTCTCCTTCACATCGCCCCTGAGCTGCAGCAGCGTGGACACCATGAGCGGCTGGTCGGGCTGGAACAGGAGAGGACTTTTACCCAAGGGACACACGGTCTTTTCCCCTCATCCCATAGGCTCCCGCTGTTGCTGGCCCAGCACCTACATCAAAGTCAGCAGGTGGCACCCAGGATACATTGATGGTCTTGGTCTGGCCTCGATCCAAGAAGCCCCTTGCAGGCTCGATGGAGAAGCCCCTGTGCTGTAACCACGTGATGCCATCCAGGCTGAACTCGGCAGTCTGCAGGCATGGACACTGTGGGGCTGGGGCTGACACCAGCACCCCTCCAGCTCTGTCTGGGGCTGCTCTCCCCCAACGGCTGCTGGAAACCGCAGGCACCCTAGCAAGGGGCACCGCTAGGGCTGCTCAGGGATGGGGGCACAGGCAGCCAGGGTGGCACAGGAGTGGAGCCACATCACCTTCTTTAGAGCTGGCTGTGTGGTCCGGATACAGCCTACTTGCAGCTCCCTGGTGGCGGGAGGGGCTGGCTGGTCTGTGTCATGCTGGACGTACTTCAGGGTCAGCAGGATGGGCTTTAGCTCCTCAGCTTCTGCAGAGGCAGGGTGCTGGGTAGTGGCTGGGCAGAGGCCATGGTTGGGGCAGGCAAGGGGTGGGCATGGAATCCTTTTGAGCCTGGTGCATAGTGGGTTCCACCTGGCTGTGGGGATGGCGGCCTTGATCTCCTGCCCTCTGCTGTGGGCCTAGCACAGCCACTTTCCAGGGGATGCCGGAGTCTCCCAACAGCTCCCCAAGGTTGCCTGCCTCCCCTACCCCTTCCTAATACTGAACTCACCCTCTCTGTGCTCTGGGTTGGAGGCAGGGATCGCTGTCAGAGACTCCACAGGCACATCCAGGGGGTCCCCGCCCTCCACGAACATCATGTGCTCGTGGGCGGCCCCCTTCAGTTGGATCTGGTGAGAGACTTTCTGAGGGCGAGAAGCAGGCACTCAGGGACTGAGGCTGTGGCTCAGGTGGGGCCCTGTGAGACCAGAGACACCTCATTTCTCCACTCCTGACCCCAGTGTGGTATCCTGGGCCTTGAAGCGGACAGCACCGGAACAGAGAGAAAGAGGACACGCAGGGCCAGGGAGGTGGCTCAGTAGAATAAGTGCTTGCCTGGCATGCGCAAAGGCCTGAGTTCAATCCTGGGTTCCGAAAAAAAAAAAAAAAAGAGGACACGCAGGGGTCACTGAGCCCCACCTTTTCAAAGAGTACCACCTGGAGCCGGTCGGAGAAGTACAGGCTCTCGTGGTCGGGGCTGAAGGTCACAGTGAAGACCTGCGCCCTTCCAGGATCCAGGATGCCGGTGACGGGGACCACGCTGAACACGCTTTGGCCACTGTGGTTCTGTGTGCCTGTGGGCGGCAGAAGGGTAGCTAGGAGCACCCCCACAGGGTCTGGTGCCCACGCACACTGCACCCACTGTGCCATTCTGCCAAGTGCCCCTAGACAGCCGCTCCACTGGGCCTACCCACGACCTCTGTCCTCTGGGGTCCGGAGGTGAGGAACTGCGGCAGCTCCTGCCGGACAGATGACCTGGACCACAAGAGGCTGTCCAGCTGCACAGAGAACTGGATGGGCAGCGAGGAGTCGTTCTGCAGCTGCAGGGTACAGGGTGGTAGGGGACCCGCCCATCACCCTGATGGCCTCTGTCCTGGCTGGTACCCTCCCTGCAGTCACACTGACAGGGAACCAGAAGGCCTCACTCTCCAACAGCGACTGTACCAGCACTCGGGGGGACCCCACTCTACCTCCCCTTGGCCCTTCTCAAGCGGGCCCCCAGCTTGGTGCTGCCCTCTGAGCTGTCTCTCTCTCCCCCATCTCTTCCCTGTCTTCTCCCCAGCCCCAGAGTGCCCTTCTCCCACAATCTATTTGGGCTCTGCTCCTGGGGCCCCACAGTGTGAGGCCAGATGTCCTTCCGCAGGGTGTGTGAGCCGGGCCAGGGGGTCCCTCATCGAGGGGTGATGGGTGCCAGAGCTCAAGGGTGCCCTGGGGCCCTAATGGAGGGTGCTCATGTGGCAAAGCTTGAGGTGGCTGGCAGGGGACTTGGACACAGGCCTGCAGCACAGGGACACGTGGCAAGAACAGATGGGTGCCAGGTGGAGGGAGGGCACCCTCTGCCCTCTCAGGAACACAGCAGAGGTGCTAAGCACTGGGGCTGGGGTACAGCCTGGGTCCCCACTGCTTCCCAGCACCCAGCCTCCCCACACAGGGCTGACCCCATCCTGGAGGAAACCTTGAAGCCTGTAGAGACAGACTCTCTGGCAAGCACGCAGCCCATGTCGAGGACGTCGCCATCAAGGGAGCATGTGATCACAGATGCCACTCCAGTGCCCACCAGGGTCAGGGTGAGGGTGCCTCTCTTGGTGATGACCTCCAGCATTTCCTGGGCCTGTGGCACAGCCTATGTGTCAGGCTGGGGTCTCTGCCTGTGGGTGGCTGGGGCCCTCTCTGACTTAATAGCGTGAGGGCCTGGTGGCACCAGGGTGGCTCAGCTCCTGCCCGGGCACATGGGAAGTCAGAGGGCTGGCACGCACCAGAACACTCTCCTGGGGCGAGAAGGACAGTGCCAGGACACGCGTCTTGCCGGCGTGTAGCTTGCTTGGGGTGTTCACTAGGAAGAAGGGGCCTCTGGGGTTCAACACGGAGAAGTCCAGCTGAGGTCAGTGTCAAGGAGCAGGCACCGTGCTTTGCTGCCCAACATGATCCTGCTGCACCCCAGGCAGCTGCAGAGTGGCCAAGGATACAGCCAGGTCCTCAGGGCAGATGTTCTGGAGAGAGACCCTCTTGATGCTGCGGTGTCCTGCAGAAGAAGGGAGTCAGCCGCAGCCCTGGCTCCAGGCTCCCTGAACGGGCTGGTGTCCGGCTCAGGCAATACGCACCCACAGCAATGTCACCAAAATCGATGATGGGTTTGCCTTTGTCCGAGGTCACCACAATAGCCGGAGCCACTGCGGGGCACCACAGCTCCAGGTACAGTGTGTTGTGGGGGCTGCGGGCAGGGCAGGCAGACTGAGGTCAGTGGAGGAGGAGGATGTGTGTGGAGCCAGCCACACCCAGCCTCGTCCAAGCACCCTGCACCTGAAGTTCGGGGGTTCTAGCCCATTCCTGTCTTTGACATCACCACTGGCCACAACGCAGGGGACCACGAATTTGTCAAACCGCCCCTGGAATGTTCTGGCCAGAGTGGCCTGGGCAGCCCGGTACTCGTCAGCTCTGGAAAGAAGCTGGGAAGTGGTATGGATGCCCATTCCACCTCCCGGGCTCCTTAGCGGCCTCCCTCCCAACCGCCCCCCCCCACCGCTTGCAAGGGAGTTGGTTCCGAGTGGGCAGGAACAGTGGCCACCCTGGACCAGGCAGTGCTGGGCCAGCTTCGTTTCCCTTCGTGCGCTCCCATGGGGTTGCCCCCCTCCCCAATCCTGATCAATCATGTTCCTGGGACACAGGACCAAGTGCTGACAAGTGGCCCAGGCCCCCCAGAGCGTGCCTGGTCTGCTTTCACTTGGAAAGGCTGAGTCAGGGTAGCAGCCTCTCGTGATGCCCATGGCGCAGGTATTTCAGAGTGAAAGCAGGCTGGGCTGAGGCCTGGGCAAGGAAACCCCAGATCCAGCGTGGCCACCTGGGACTTGCAGTCCTGCATGCACACATCCGTGCTCTGGCATCTTGTGGGGAGAGCCGCACCAGGAACCAGAGCATGGCATGGGAGACAGACGGGGAGACCCTCCGGCACACCTGACTTCCAGCTCTTGCTTCTGAAGGGCAGGGGCCTGGCCTGGCCTGGCCTGCACCCTCCTGTCTTTCCTTTGGGTGGCTGTGTCCTTCTGCAGCTGGGAGACAGAACAGCTGCTGAGGGGCTGCTGAGGGGCTGCTGGGGGCCCTGCCTCAGCCCGGTGGGCAGTGCTACCTGCATCCCCCAAGGCCCTGCTCGCAGGCCTGCTGGCTTCCACGAAAGGCAGACTGTGAGGTTTGTGGCCTGGGGGAGTCTGGGGTTCGCCCGAGGACCCTTTGTTGCCAGTGGAGAAGAGGCAGGGGAGGGACGGAAGCCTGTGGTAGGTCCAGGGCTGGTGCTTTCTCGGCCTCGGCAGCCTTGTGGGCAGGCACTGCCCCGGCTCCTTGCACAGCCACAGGCAGGTGTGGACAGCCCTCGGGTCAGTATGGCCCGCAAGGACCCTGCAGCATCCCGCAGGTCCTCCAGCTGCCAACTGGCTGTTTCCTATTTTCCCCCGGGGATGCCAGGCTGCATGTCGGGTTCCTCCTGGTTCTGTCACAGCCCGGCAGTGCCCTAGATCCTGCCCTCTAGGACCTCGGCCTCTGGCTCTGCCCACTGCCCACTGGCGCTTGCCGAATGCAGTGATGGGACTTAGAGGAACACTGTCCCCTTGAGGACAGCTGACCACGCCAGGCCGTGCAAACCTGCCCCATGCTCCCTGCCCCCACTCCTCCCAATGGCTCCACACACCGGCTTGGCCTGCATTTCTTTGTTGGGGGTCTGCAGGGCTTCTTGGTTGACCAGCTGGTGGGGCAGAGTGGGCTGGAAAGCCACCCGGACCAGGCATCTCTGGGGAAGGAGATTGGGACAGTGAGCTGGAGACGGGGAGGCCCTGCTCAAGCGCTGGGCTCCCCTCTAGGTCACCTCCAGATGGTGGACTTCCCTGGCCACTGTGCGGGAGGTGGAGGCTGAACAGGAATCTCAGCCTCCACCAGGCATCATGGGGTCCCCCCTGGAGGGCAGCATCCCAGGCAGGCCAGGACCCCACCCACTGCCCAGGAGGCTGAACCTAGCCCTAGCCCGGATCCCAAACACCCGTCCTGCCCCTGGCCCTGGTGCAGCCCTCTCACCTTTCCAGGCAACACGGTTCCCACCAAGGGGGAGATGGTGATGGGTGTGTCTGGGGGCAGCAGGAACTCAAAAGACGTTGGTCCCACTGGGCAGAGATCCCCTGAGCCGGCCCGGTGGGACAGTGAGCTCGTGGCCAAGTGGGAGTTGATGACATACAGTGAGGCCACTGAAGTGTCGTACAGAGCAGTGGCCGCAAACTTGATCCGGTAGTGGGACAGCTCCAGGGGTGGGTGGGTGCCCACTGCCTGGCAGGACAGCCTGAAGCACCTGCAAGTGTCAGGGTGGAGGCGGCTGGCCACTCAGGGGCCGCTGCGGCTCACTGCCCACGAGCAAGTTCTGAGAGACCACGCAGCCCTGTGCCGGCTTTTGCTGGGTACTCAGGCTTTAATCAGAAGTTTAGACAGCTGTGAGGAGGGGTTCTGGCTTATTATGCTAGGTATTTATTGACATTTAAAATCAAAACTGATAAATCACTGTTTTCTTATGTAGTTAGTGCAGGGTCTACAGGGTCTCACTACACAGATCAAACTTGTAGGTGTCCTCCTGTTCTCAGCCTCCCAAACTCTGGGATTACAGGCGTGTACCACACGCCCAATCTCAACTGCTGTCTCAGGCGTGCCCTGGGGATGGGGCTGGCGCAGCCCCTCTTTAGTCCGCTGAATTACCTGGCCAGCCCTTAAACCACTCATGATAAGCAGGGAGTCTTATACCATCACAAGTTATTCTCAGCACCATCCATTACAGAAAGAGAACAAGCAGTTGTCATTTTAACTGTTGAAAACTTATTTTTTGTCCCATTCCTCCTCCCACTCAAACTTTTTGTTTTTGAAGTTTTTTTAGTTTGGATTTTTGGGGTTGTTTTTGTTTTTGTTGTTCTGAGACAGGGTCTTGCTGTATGGCCCCGGCTGGCCTTAAGCTCAGTGTTCTCCTGCCTCAGCTTTCCAAATGCTGGGATTACGGATGGTAATCACCATGCCTGGCCCTTTGGGATTTTCTGAGACAGGGTCTTGCTGTGTAGCCCAGCCTGGCTTTGAACTCTGAGCAATTTCCTTGCCTCAGCCTCTCCAGGGGTGAGCTTACAGGGGTGTGCTACATGCCTGCTTTAGAATGCGGAACCGGGGATTGAACTCAGACCCTTGTGCTTGCCAGGAAAGTACTTATGCCACTGAGCCATCTCCCCGGCCCCACTTTAGAAATTTTATCTTCCATATTTTTCTTGAATTCTTGCATTTTCCTTTTTTTTTTTTTTGCTTTTTTAAGACAAGGTTTTAGGGCTAGCCAAATAGCTCAGTGGATTAAAGCACCTACAAGCAGGTGAAGGGGCTGGGGGTTGCCCCTGGGGCACGCTAAAAAACAACAACAAAAAAACCACAATTGAGACTGGGAACGGTGGCGCAGGCCTGTAATCCCAGCTCAGTTCTTGGGAGGCTGTAAACAAGTGAATCACCATGGGCCCAAACACCCTGTAGACTTTTCCCTTGAAAAATACACACACACACACACACACACACACACACACACACACACACACACACAGGACAGGGTCTTACTATGCAGTTCAGGCTGGCCTTGACCTCATTTTCTAGCCAAGGCTGGTCTCAAACTTGCAAGGATCCTCCTGCCTCAGCCTCCTGAGTGCTGGGATTATAGGCATGTGCCCTACTCATCAACTTTTGTCCTAATTATGTGTGTGTGTATGGCGTTGGGGACTGAACCCAGGCTCTTGTGCACGTAAGGAGAGCACCCTATCACTGAGCTACATCTTCAGCCCTGATGACATGTTTTGTCTTATACTTTTTTTTCTTTCAGCACTGGGGATGAACCCAGGGCCTTCACACTGAACCACATCCCCAACCCTTTTTTAATTTTATTTTTTATTTTATGACGGGGCCTCACTAAGTAGCTGAGTGCCCCGGAGTGCTGGAGTAAAGGACATACGGCCACCCCTGGCTTGTTTATGCTTCACAGGGTGACTCCAGTTATCCCGTCCTCCTTGTCTGCTCCAGAGTGTGCCCTAGCGCTGAGAGGTCTGTATCCCTAATCTCTACCCAGGGACCGCGACGCAAATGTGCCGACCTTCCTTGGGGGAGATGACATGGCTATCGGTACCCCGAACTGCCCAGGAGCTAGAAATGTGGGCAGCGCCACAACCGTCATGCGCCAAGTGTCAGCATGGCCTGCCCCGCTTCTGGGCACAATGGGCCTGCATTCTGGGCTGGCCAGGGGTCACGGTGGCCAGGGTTCTGGCTTCCACGGCTGCTGAGTGTCACCCGCACCAGCTCCCCTTCTCCATCTGCCAGACATGCACACGATGACTCCCCTTCTAGTGGTTCTGTTGTTTTGAGAGAGGGTCTCACGCCATGTTTCCTGAGCTGGTCTCCAACTTCTACTGGGACCTTGGGCACAGGCCAGCCCACAGGCCCTGGCGCAGCATGGGGACCGCTCGGCCCGGGGTCCTGCCCCACTCAGCAGCCGCTGCTCCTCAGCCCGCTGAGCAGCCAGTTGGCCAGGGACACGGTGCCATCCTGCTGCCAGTGCGGGAACGCTTCCCATTCTGTTCTGCTCTCCGAAAATTTCTGGAAGGTCGGCATTGTTTTTGCATGTTTGGAGAATTTGTCTGAATTCGCTTTCCTCTGGGAAAGGGCTGGGAGATCTCACTCTGGGGGCTCGTGAGTCTCGGGCCCCTTTTCCTCCACAGCCGCTCAGCTCTCCAGGGCGCCTGCCTGCTTTCCCGACAGTTTTGGTGCCAGGGCCTTGGGGACTCCCTCTCCCCTAGAGGCAGGTTTTTTCAGGGGGCCAAGCGCGGGCTGATTTCTGCTTCTGGTGGCTCAGGCGGTGCCCAGCATCTGTAACTTCACCTTGGCTGGCTTTGCTAGGAGAACTACATTTGACTGATCTTTTTCTTTTCTTTCTTTCTTTCTTTTTTTTTTTTCTTTTCGGAACCAGGGATTGAACTCAAGCCCTTGCACTTGCCAGGGAAGTGCTTATTCCACTGAGCCATCTCCCCGGCCCCGACTGATCTTTTTCTTTACAAAAAAAAGTCTGCTAATGAAACATTGCTTTCTACTTCATTGATTTCTGCTCTTATCTTTCCTTCTAACTTCTTTGGGTTCAGTTTTCTTTTTTTTTCCAAAAAATTTTTATTTTTTTATGTATTTAGTAAGTACAGGGTCTACAGGGTCTCACTACACAGATCAGACTCGGAGTGGTCTTTCTGTTTGCAGCCTCCCAAGGGCTGGGATTACAGGCGCGCGTACCACGCCGGGTCTCAGCTGCTGTCAGCACGCTCTGGGGCAGGGCCAGCACACCAGGGGTGGAACCGCTGGCCCTGCATCTGTCTAAGCCGGCGCTTTAATCCCCTGAACTATCTGGCCAGCCCCAGCTTTCTTTTCTTGAAAAAGGGAGTTTAGTTTGTTGAGTTTCAAACTCTTCTATCTTTCTTTGAGGCCGGGTCTTCCTATGCAGTTCGGCCTGGCCCTGAATCACTCTGTAGGCAGGCTGGCCTCACTCACAGCAGCCCTCCTGTCTCAGCCTCCAGAGTGCGAGGATTATAGGCACGTGCCACACCTGGCGTTTCTCTGCTTCAGATGGGTCACAGGCACTTGAATCTAACACCTCCCAAGGTGTTTGGTGAAGGCAAATCCCACAGCACGTGGAGGGAGAGGAGAAGCTCCCATCGCTGTGTGCACGTGGGGTGGCCCCAGCCCCTTGTCCCTGCTGCCTGGCTCTGCTCTTCGCTCTCCTGAAAAGCCCAAGGCATGGTTTATTGTCCTGCGTCTGTGCAGGCTCCTATGCATGCACACATGTGCACGCCCGTGTGTAGAGGAGCAGAGGGGCGTGTGCGAGGCTTGTGCAGTGTGGGAGCACTGGCTCCGGGCGGGGAGGGCACAAAAATGATTCTCCGGCGGGTGGAGGGTCTGTCTCCGCAGCAGGGAAATCGAGGCAGATATGATTATGCCAGTCTTCCTGGTGGAGGGGCTGAGCTGTCGGTCCCACACATTCTTAGAAGATTGGAACAGGAGGGAGGAGAGATCACCCAGCCAAGAAGAAAGCTGAGCCTGAACAGGCATCTCAGGCAGTGAGGGGTGCAGATCCCTCCTGGGACCCTCAGGGGCTCAGGAGAAATAAAGGCTGGGACATGGGCAGCAAGACAGGGGAACGAGGGAAACTCAGCACCCCCAAGGGCGGGGCGGCAGGAGGAAGGGTGGTGAAGGGACACAGATGGAGGAACACGTGGGTGGGGACAGCAGCCACCTGCATGACCCCCGGGACAGTGTCCTATGGTTCTCCCCGGGACTTTGTGGTTTTAGTTTCCTGGTAGTTTTCATGAAATGAAGGGTGCTCGCTCGCAGCTGAAGTCTGTGAAGCTGCCACGCCTCAGGTTCCCAAGGATGGACAGAACCAGGGCCAGCCTCTTTCTTGGCCCTCAGTGAAGAGCCTGAGACCCTGCAGTCTGGGTGGGCAGGCGGGGTACGCTGTCCCTCCCCGCGGGGTGCAGCACACTGTCCCTTACTGCCTGCACACACTGTCCTTGGACCCAGAGCTACAGGACAGGATGAGAGGGGACACCAGAGCCCACAACCCGCACCACACTCAGCTATGCACTCGGCTATACATCTGCCTGTCCACACCCTTCTCTGGTCCTGCTTCCAGGGGCCCAGGGCAAGGCAACTGGCCTGTCAGTGTGTGTCTCACGCACACTGTGCGCACTACACACGGAAACAAATATATGCACCCTCGGAACACTGGTGAGGATCTCTGAGGACGCACACATGCACGCATGCAAGCCACACCCACAAGGCAGCTCATGCACTCACGTGTGCATGCTCACACTGACACACACGTGTCCACCACGCTCACATGTGCCGCACCCGACCCTCGCCACTCACTCGCACCCACGACTCACCGGTTTATCTGGGACTTGCAGACCAGCTGGAAGCTGTACTCTCTGGCCTTGGTGGGCTGGAAGAGCACGTCGAGCTGCAGTGTGTCCAGCGGCAGGATGGTCCCGAAGCCGTCACTGGGCTGGACATCTATGAACTGTGCGGGGGGGGGGGTGAGCAGAGGCGGGGGAGTGCGCCCCGGGGTGGCTTGACGGTTCTGCCGGGTGTATGAGTTAGATGGGGTTGGGGCGGAGCCATCCAGGAAAGGCTGGGGACCAGGGCAGGAGCCCCCCAGGTGCACCCCCCGTGGGAGGGTGGGAGGGAGATGGGAAAGGCAAGGGCCAGTGAGGGGTGGCCGGGATGCCACAGGGGACAGCAGGGCCTCAGGGGAGGAAGGCTGCTGGCCAAGCCACGTGCGCACCTTGGGAAGCCCCACAAACCCGAACTCCTGGGGCAGCAGTGAGTGGTTGCAGAGGCTGACGCTGACCCTGACGGCCTCGTAGATGGTGCAGTAGCCGAAGTCCACCGTGGAGGGGCGGAGCTCCAGGTCCGAGGTGGTGACGATGGCGTGCACCGTGAAGCCCACCGGCTTGGTCTGAGTGGGGGGTGGAGCACACCCCAGTGTGACCACAAAAGGGCTGGCCTCCCGCGGCCTTGCGGCCAGGCCGTTGGCACAACTCGCAGACCCAGGGGCCCTCCACTGCTCCCGGGGCTGGCTCAGACGCCTCACTTCTTCCCTGCTGAGGGCCACAGGGACAGGGCCGAGCCACTGCCACCGACTGGCCCTGGATACTCCAGCAGGCGCAAGGGTGGGAGCAGCCCGGTAGGTATCCTGGGCAGGCACTGACCTGGTCAGCCACCCAGATTGTCATTGGGGCCTCCAGAACACAGCTGTCCTTGTCAAAATAATTGCCGGCGTCTTCTGGCAGGGACTGTCTACAGGGCCAGATGCACTGAATGTACTTTTCTCTTTCTACTTTGCAGAACAAACAGTAAAAGTGGCCAGCGAGGGCTGCTCGTGTATTCCAGGTACGTGGTGAGAGGGGTGCTGGGGTCCTTCCCGTGATGTCTGCTGCTATCACGGTACCAGGGCTGACTGGGGCCCTTGTGCACTTGAGGTGTGCTGGCCGGCTGGCCGCAAGTCACCCTGGGAGCAGCACGGGTGCAGGGGCCGTGCTGGGACTGGCTCTGAGGGCTGCCCCGAGATACACAGACCTAGTCCAACAGTGGGGTGTTCAACTCAGGAGGACCCCTCGCGTGAAGGAGACCTGTGAGGTCTCTTCTGAATGCCACATTAAAGCAGTGTGCTCTCATTGCAGTGGAAGTGAGTACCACAGAAGACTCAGAACATGCAAATAAGAAAGAAGAGGACCAGGGAGATGGCTCAGTGGAGTAAGCACTTCCCTGGCAAGTGCAAGGGCCTGAGTTCAATCCCCGGTTCCGCAAAAAGAAAAAAGAAAGAAAGAAAAAAAGAAAGAAAGATCCACTGTGCTCTGCTGAGCAGCCAGGGGCCGGGCCAGGCAGGTCCCCATCTCCCTGTCACCCTTGTGGTCCCAGCCCCAGGGTGGGCTTAGGGCAGGGACCAGCTCTACTCCCTGAAAACTGGCAGCAGAATTAAAAGCGGGGAGCACCTCAGGAAGCAGGCACAAATGAGCCCGAGTCCATTGGCAGGAGGCCCTGCCATGTGGACCCTTCCGGGCACTGCTGGGAGGACCTCATGGGCACAGGGACAGTGAGACACAGGACCAGGGATGAAGCAGAGACGGCCTCCAGGTTGTGCGCAGCCCAGCTGGACCTCAGGAACACGGGTGGGGTCACAGGGATGCAAGGATGGCATGGCTGATGGCAGGGAGCCAGCTGGCCAGCGGATCCCACAGGGAACGGTACCCTGGAGGCAAACCACCCCCAATACCGCGTGCCCCATGCGCCCCATGGCCCCCACTCACCGGGGCAGGAACTTGAGCTGCACAGAGCACGACGCCAGAGCCTGGATGTAGCTCGTTTCAGGCAGTAGCTCCAGGTGGCCGCGGAGTTCCTTGCACACCTCAAACCTCAGGCGCAGGGCCACCTTTGACCTGCAGATGCACACGGGTGCCAGTCAGGGCCACAGCACCGTGCCCTGTGCCTGCCTGCTCCTTTTACTTGTCAAATATCTGTAGTTAGGCATGGTGGTGCATGCACGCCAGGAGCCCAAGTTAGAGAGCAGCCTGGGAAACAGCTGGTGGAGGGCCGGCTGGGACTGGAGCGTGAGGCCCGGCCGCAGAAAGCTGCGCTGCACTTCTTTTTTTTTTTTTTTTTTTTTTGTGGAACCAGGGATTGAACTCAGGCCCTTGTGCTTGCCAGGAAAGCGCTTATTCCACTGAGCCATCTCCCCAGCCCCCTGCGCTGCACTTCTAACGCTGGGGCAGGAAGCAGGGCTCGGCCGCACGCCCAGTGCGCACCGGCTGGCGTCCCCGGCGGCTGGGAAGCTGCAAAGCTCTGCTTTTCACAGATTGGGTTTCTGAGATGCAATCTGATGAGAAGTTCTAAGTACAAAAATAAATATACTGCAATTAACACACAGCCTCGCCAGTTCTCAGAGATCACGGCTTTCTGGGAACAACTACTCCAGGGTCTGCGGGGCTCAGGTCTGAGGTGGCGCTGGCCCTCCAGGTCTGCTTCCCCTGCCTGGGAGGCTCTGGAGGCCAGGCCTCTGCGGATGAGCCACGTTCCTGCACAGGGCCAGCAGAGGGAGCCAGAGGGGCGCTAGCCGGTCACCTAGGGCTCGCTGCTGCCCCCGGGCTGGCCCACCGGCCCTCACTTCCGTGGTGGCGCTGTCTCACACACGGCCACCTCAGTGTCTCTCCCAGAGCAGCCGGCACCCAAATAAGCCAGCCCTGGCCACAGCCCTTCTCGCGGCCTGCAAGGAGGCATCCTCAGCCAGCCTGACGGGAAGTTGTTCCCTGCTCTACCTAAATGGTTCCAGAACCTTCCAGAACCTTCTGCAGCTTCTTCAGAGTGCTGCGAACGATCTCTGTTTGACCCACATCTGTCCTGGGTCTGTGGCCCAAGGACTCCCGACACCTGGTCATTGTGCGTCTGAGGGCCAAGTCCACAGAGAGCAGGCCGAGGTGGTGGCTATGCAGTCTCGCTGTGGACTCGCTGGGTGTCTGGGTGGTAGATGAGGCTGGGCCTGGGGTATTGGACGTGGTCTCTGGTCCCCTCCTCTGTGGCACTGTCCCTGCTGCGCTTCCTGGCCACCCCAGAGAAGCTCTGCTCTACCATGCCCTTCCACTATGTTGCTCTTGCCGTGGCACCGGGCACCACGGCTGAATCCCGGAGCCACGGGCTGGATCGCACCTCTCCACCTCTCAGTTCTAACGACAGGAATGCTGAATGATCCAAGCACAAGGGAAGTGGCCATACTTCAGGGGTCACAGCTTTGCAGACCCTGGGTGACCTATGAGGGAGGCCTGAGGCAGGTGCCAGGGGAAGGGCCCTCTCCACTCTCTGGCACGGCTGCCAGAGCCTGGGTCCACTGCGGTGGTCGGAAGTGGATGCGTGGGATGTTCAGACCATGCTGTCCCCACTGCACAGCCACCAGGACCCCTGCTGCCCACTGGGCACTGGGCCTGGGCACACGTATGCAAACAATCTTCATCAATGGCATCTCTCCTACTGTCATGCAGCTCAAACCCACCAATTACACGAAACTACAAATGGGTGATAATCGCCTAAGAAAAAGTCGCTGAGCAGCCAGGCTTGGTGGCACACACCTGAATCCCAGCTACTTGGGAGGCTGAGGCAGGAGGGTTACAAGTTTGGGCATAACCTAGGTTGACTCTGTCTCTGGGGATGTAGCTGAGTGTGAGGCCCTGGGTTCAATGCCTAGTGCCACACACGCACATGTACACACACACATGCTCATATTAATAAATGTGTGGCTTGGGTGGGTTGAGAGCAAAACTCCCCCACTCCCGGCCCCCTTTCCCTCCCATGGGACCCGATAGCACTTTGCTTTCGGAAACAAAGCCGTCCTCCAGCAGACCCACACCCCACTCCTATGGAGCAGCTTCCTCCGGGTGGTGGCAGTGCCTCACTGAGGTGTCAGCCGGGCAGGCCCCCAGGTGCAGGGCAGGCCACCCGAGGATGCCAGCTACTCCTCCACTGAGTGTGGCCAGCGGCCTAGCAGGGGACGCCATGCCTGGGAGCTTTCTCCCTGGGTGAGGGGTGCATGTGGGCAAGGGGACACCTGAGCCCTGGTGTCAGTAGCATGTTGCCCTGTGGCCTGTGGGCTGGCATGAGCCACAGAGCTGGATGACCCAGCCCTCCGCCTGAGTCACATACACTTCAGAGGTTCTGCGCCCATGTTCTAACACCCTTGAGCCACAACAGATGACCAGCTTCCCTCTCAGGCTTCATCTGAGATTCACTGTCACCCCCACTCCCAGGAGCTAAATAGCCCTTGGCCAGTGCCCTGCACTGGACAGGGAGCTGAGATGGACCTAAGTAGCACAGCCCAGCCTGGCAGGGGCTGGGCATGGAAAGCCTGAGTGGCTGGGCACTAAGGGCTGGGAGCCAGCAGCACTGCCCTCAGGCCCAACCCCCTTGTCCTGCCAGTGTCCCTTGCCCTCCATCCCAAGCCTGCCCTGTCCCTGAGTTTCCTGTGGCAGTGTCTGAGGACCTGCCTCCTGGGAGTGTGGGGTCCCCTCCTGTCAACTGCCAGGGGCTCACCGCGTTTGCACAAGCACCGAGTCCTGGTACAGCCGGTCATACATGCAGATCTTGAGGTCCACGTTGGGCTTGGGCACCCACACCGGCACGTCCACCGCCACTCCTGTGGCTCTGAAATACAGCTGGAGTGGGGCAGGTGAGCTCCGCACGGGCCCGGAAAAGGGAAGCCCTGCGGGCTGACCTTCATAACTCAAAATATTAGGAGGCTGGTCAGTCGACACAGCTCTGCTGCTTGGCACACCACTGTCACTCTGGGGTCTTGGGGTGCTCTACCACTAAGCTCCTCCAGCAGCCCTTTGTATTTTTTACTTTGAGGCAAAGTCTTGCTAAATAGCCCAGGCTGGAATCCAACATGAAATTACCCTGCCTCAGCCTCGCTGGTAGCTGACACGCTACCTGCCCAGTCACATCATTAAAAAGTTCTTCTTTATATCAAAAATTCAAACAATAAACAATAGAACAGGGCCGGCCAAATAGCTGAGCAGATTAAAGCGCCTGCAAGCAGGCCCAGGGGCCGGGGGTTCGATCCCTGGGCCTGCCGTGCTGAGCCCGCCCCTGGGGCACGCTGAGATGGCAATTGAGACTGAGTGTGGTGGTGACATCTATAATCCCAGCTCTTGGAAGGCTGTAAACAGTCGAATCACTAAGAGTCCAATCTAGTAGTGAGATCCTGAACACCCTGTAGACCCTTCCCTAAAATACAAAAAACATACAAAAAAAAAAAAAAAAAGCCCCTGCAATAGAACAGAATACTAAAAGGTCATTGACAATCACCACCATGTGCAGAGTACCAGGGAAACCAGGGAAATGGGGAACCACGGGCGCTGCGGGCAGCCTCACCCTCGGGGTACTGTCAAGTGTGTACCGTGGGACCTGCAGGGGCCTTGGGGACCCTGGGGCTGCAGCCACGTGGGCTCTAATCTGGAGCTGCTGACATGGGGTGGCGGTGGGATTTGGTGCTGTGGCAGGTGTTGTCCTGGGGTCGTGTGGTGATGTCTAGCCCTCCAGCTCCTATCCGAGCTGCCCCAGCAGGTCCATATGCCCTTTGTTTCCTCTGCCTCAGAGGCTGGAGCAGGCTGGAGCGGGCTCATGGTGGTGCCGGAAGGGGATGTTGTCTGGCATTATCACCCCATGATCAACCTGGATAGCCAGTGTCTGCTTCACCTAGGGGCCCAGGCTGTGGGCAGAGGTCCACAGCTGTGCGTAGCACTAAGGAAACTAACAGTTCCAGGGGAGTTGGGCAGCCCCAGGAGGTGAGGCTGAAGTAGGGCAACTGGGACATGGAGGCTAGGCCGTGAGGGGTCAAGGGCTGGGGTGGGTGGGTGGGTCTGTGCATGGGCAGGGACACGAGGGACTTGGGTGGTGACAGGCTGGGACTGCCCCGTCACAAAAGCAAAGCCAGGGCAGATTGGACTGGGATCAAACTGGGAGCCAGGAAATAAACACTGCACGGCCTGAGGAGGGGACAGCCAGTGCACCCAGCATGTGGCTCCTGTGCAGACTCCTCCCAGGAGGACGGAGGAGGCGAGGCTGAGGTGATGGAAGAGACTGAGCAGGACCAGGGTGGACAGTGAGGGGCGGTCCAGGGAACCGGCCGGCAGTGAACGTGGATAGCTGGGAAGCAGGGCTGCCTGCCGCCTGCTGCCTACCGCCTGCTGCCTGCGTGCACCGCATTTCGATGGTCAAGAAAATGAGAGCTTATGTTATCTTCAGAGGATAATTTACTAAAAAATTAAAAGATAAAGCCAGGCATGGTGGTGCACGGCTGTAATCCCAGCACAGAGGGAGGCCAAGACAGGAGGATTGTAAATTTGAGCCAGCCTGGTAATTAGAGACTTAGTGAGACCCTGTCTTAAAAAAGCAAAGAAGGAGCCGGTGATGCTACTCAGCAAAAAGCCTCGGCTTCAGTGCCCAGGACCCCCCTCAAAGTCTTGTGAGTACACACATACACGCATGTGTACACACACATGCACACACGTGCGGATGCGTGGTCCCACGCACACGTGTTCGCAGGTGGGTGCTGGCGTGCACATGTGCTCGGGTGTGCGTGGGCTGAAGTGCCGGCGTCCACGCCCGGCTGTACCTCGGGGGCACGGGGCAGCTCCCAGCCACAGTGGGTTCGCTCACCGTTGGGCACTGCGGGTTACTGAACACCACCTGGAACCTGGCGTGGACTTCACCTGGAATGGCTGGAGCGAAAACGACCGGCAGCCTGACGGAGCTGAAGGGCCCAATTTCCCCCTCGGTCACCTGCATGGCGAGACAGTCCGGGTCAGTGGGCACCAGGGCTTCCGCCAGACGCCACCCACCCACGCGGGCCAGCCAGGCCGTGGCAGGACCACATCCCCGGGTGGCCTCTTGGCTGGGCTGGGCCCTCTGCCCTGGCCACGGAGGACTCGGCCTCGCTCCGCGTGAAGCGGGGCCTGCCTTAGCTTAGCCCTGCACGGCTCTGGCTGCAGGCTCAGCCTGGCGCTGGGCAGAGGGGCAGAGGGGTGCAGCCTTGCCCCTCGCCGGGGAGCGGGCTGTGCTGACCTCGCCCAGTGCGATCTCTGCCTGGGTCTCACTGGGCATTCCCGCCACACTACTGGCAGCCGGTGCACCCTTGAGGTCTGCAAGACAAAACACGACAGTAAAAAACCAACCCAAAGTGGCTGGCATTGCTCCGGAAGGAGTCGGAGGCAGCCAGGCCGGACACAGCAGTGTGTGAGACCCCGACGCGGTGAGGCAAGGCAAGGCTGACTGCGCCTGCGGTGGGGTGGTACCAGGGGAGGGATCAGCAGGCGGCTGCTCGCTCTCCCTTCCTTCCTTCCTTCCTTCCTTCCTTCCTTCCTTCCTTCCTTCCTTCCTTCCTTCCTCCTTTTTTGTTTCTTTCTGAGACAGGGTCTTGTTACGTAGTCTAGGTTGGCCTCAAACTAACGGTGATCCTCCTGCCTCAGCCTCCTGAGTGTTGGGATTATAGGCATGCACCACTACACATGGCTTGGATGGCTACTATTTCTTTTTTTTTTCTTCTTTCTTTCTTTCTTTCTTTCTTTCTTTCTTTCTTTCTTTCTTTCTTTCTTTCTTTCTTCTTTCTTTCTTTCTTTCTTTTTTTGGCGGAACCAGGCATTGAACTCAGGCCCTTGTGCTTGCCAGGGAAGAGCTTATTCCACTGAGCCATCTCCCTGGCCCCTATTTCTGAGATTGGATTCTTGAAGCTGTCAGATTTTTCAAGCCAGTCCACAACCTGTTTGGACTGAAGGAGTGAGCCTGGTATTCCTCTGCTGCCCAGGAGTGCTGTCCTGCCTGGAGCTGGCAGGGGTGCATGGGGTGTGGAGTGGCTGTCACTGTGGCTCAGCCTGGCAGGAAAGCCCATGTGGTGCTGGCTGCTCTTGGAGAGGCTGATGGGGAGCCCCCTCTTGTTTTGAGCTGTCACGCAGCCAAGGCTCCACAGAGCAGCAGGGAGGTCACGAGGACACGACAGCACAGGGGTGCTGGGGCTGAGGGCCTGTCACTGCCCCAGGTGCCATCTGCACTGGCCACAACCACAGAGACCCCTGCAGGGACTCTGCCCGGAGCCAGCCTCCACCCTCGTTGCTGCCCTTGCCCCTGCAGCCGGCCTGGGGTTGGAGCCAGGGCTCCTCTGTGTCTTATGTTGGCTTCTCAGGGACGCAAATATCAACCCACTCCATAATCAGTATTGTTTGAGTGTTTAAATATTTTCTAGTTTGGTATCACCGGAAACCAAAGCCCTGAGAAGCTTCGGAGGGCTGAGACCCTGGAGCCCCCTCCTTCCCGGGACCCAGGCCTTGGGCTCTCCTGGCGGGTGGGCAGCCCTGGGGCCGGGGCTCCCCAAGCGGCTCTCAGGCTCTTACCCTCCGACTTCACCGACTCCTTCTGGCTCTGGATGTCAAGCAGGGAGGAAGTGCTGGCCTCCAGCAGCGTCTCAGACGGTGGGGCCGTGACCCTGTCATCGAGGTTTCTGCCCTCGTAGGTGTACAGGCTGCTCTGAAAGGCATGCAGGTCTGTAGCATTCTCCTGGTCAGGCTGTGCAGATGTGCCCAGGGCCACCCTTGGGGCTCCGGCTGGTGTGAGTCTCCCTCTCCCCTTCTTCTCTCTCCTGGCTCCCCGGGGCAGGGGCCCCAGACTTGCTCCTGGCCGGGAGGACTCGTGGCTGCTGGCCTGGAGAAGGCAGGACCCTTACCAGCTTCAGGGTGGACTGGCTGTCCTCCAGCTCCACGGGCTCGGAGGCCGGGAGGACCTGGAACCTAGTGCCCAAGCCCCCGGTGTTGGTCAGCGTGACGGTGCGGGACGTGGTCTCTCCCACCACGTAGCTGCCAAAGCTGATGAGCTCCTTGTCCAGGGACAGCTGTCAAAGGACACCAGAGTGAGCTGGGAGGGATGGAGGGAGGGAGGGAGGCCGCTGTGCTGGCGACCAGAGACCTGGAACACGGTCGTTGATGTACCACATGGCAGCTCAGCTACCAAAAGCCGCCATGAAAGGTGGCTTGGGGCAAGGGGTGAAGGAGGCTGGGGCTCAGGTAACAGTCAGGACTGCTATTAATCCTTTTCTGCCTCCTCCTTCCTCCCAGTTCGGGGCCTGGGCATGGACTCGGGTGGCCAGGGAGTCTCTGGGTGCTGTGAGATGAGCGATGGCAGAAACCTACTTGGCTGGTGGCCTTGACTTCTGGGTGCCGTCACCTTCTGTGAGAGGCTCGTGCCCCAGGGCCCAGGGCTGGGCTAGGAGACCCCTGAGCACCCCAGCCTTGGTGGGGGACCACAGTGGGCCTGGGCCTGTGGCTGTGAGCCCAGACCTTGGTGCCTCTGCAGCGGGCTGTGGAGTTGGGGGTCAGCCTCTTGTGGTGCGAGGCACTGCCGAGTTCTGCGCTTGCTGGAGATGGGGAAGCCAGGGCAGGCGAGTGCTGAGGGCCAGGACGCCGCTAAGCTACTGGGCAGTGGGTCAGCACGCTGCTGGTAAAGAGATGGAGGCGTGCTGGCTGACACTGACCCCCACTGCCACAGGTGGGTCTGTGGGCGAGTGCTGCTCCTTCTTCCTGCCCTTCATCACGTCTGAGAATTGTCTCAACCACAGTGAAGGCGTCAGGCAGCGTGCCTGGGCTGCCAAGTGGAACAGGGCTCAGCATGAGCCGGGGAGGCAGGGGGTCTGTCCAGGCAGCTCTGGCACTGGTCTCCCCACTGTCCAGGCCTCCAGAATTCCAGAGCCACAGAGCAACTGCAGTCACCAGCAGAGAGCCTGAGCCCCCAGGAGGCAGGACTTCAACTTATTATTATTGTTATTATTATGCGGAACCAGGGATTGAACTCAGGCCCTTGTGCTTGCCAGGCAAGCGCTTATTCTGAGCTATCTGCCCAGCCCAGCAGGGCTTCAACTTACAGAACATTTCTTCGTTGAGCATTTCAGTGGGACAGAAAATCCACCTGTCTGAGCCAAAAAGGAGACGGTCCCTTCCAGATCTCTGTTTATCTAGGAACGGAGCAGGAGCCACCATCATTGCCTGAGCGGGACCCCTGGGCCTGTTGCATAGGGTGGCTCAGGGGTCCTAGAACAGGACCAGGAAGAGCCCTGCAGGGCAGGCATGCCCGCTCGCCCACAGCGAGCGCAGGGCAGGAGCGACCACCCTTCACCCGCCACGTTCAGCAGCGTGTTGGGGATTAAGTGGCAGCACTGGGCAGCCGGCCCAAGCGAGGCTCACCGCGGGCTTGAATGTGACGAGCGCCTCGCAGGACATTCCGGCTGACAGGGGGCCCGGAGGCTCGAAGCTGGGGCACAGTGGGATGAGTCACCGCAGGGCAGAAGACGGCCACGGACACCCAGGGGCCCCAGGCTCCCTCCCTCCTGCCTGTCTTGGCGTGGTGTCCTGACTCAGGCTGGGCACCCTGCTGTCCCCATCACCCAGCCCAGGAGACGCTCAGGCAGCACTGGGCCTGTCCAGACACCCGCGCTGGACTGGGGCCAAGGGCATTCGCTTTAACACCGAGGTGAGGGGCACTCGGAAGACGAGCCCGTCGCACAGCGCCCCGGCTGAGCGGGAGCCCGGCCCGGGAGCTCCTATAACCCGCCCCGCTTTCACAGTGCGGCTGTCCCTGATGTGCTTGCCTTCAAGCTGCACAAGCTAGACTGTAACGTAAAACCGCCTCCTGGAGTTGCCCCAGGAGACTGGGTGGAGGGGAATCTGAAACTTTTTAGCAAGGTGTGTGGTGCACACTTCTAATCCCAGCACTGGAGAGGCTGAGGCAGGAGGGCTGCCATGAGTTTGAGGCCCGCCTGGGCTACATAGTGAGTTCACAGCCAGTCTGAACCACAAAGTGAGACCCTGTCTCTGAAAAGAAACAAAACAAAACCAGAAAAATCCCAAGCTTTTCTGACTGGGCGGGGCATTCGGGTGGCAGATGATTACACGGGATGTGGCAGGCGGGACCCCACGCGTAATGGTCAGCATCCACGGCTCTGGAAGCACAGGGTGCGCAGGGCCACCCCATGTGGCACAGGGCCAGCACTCGCACCGCAGAGCCACCAAGCCACCACAGGCCGCTCCAAGACGCGAAGTTAAAAGTGTCGAGGACATAAATAAAATAGAGAATTATAGACACAAGAAAGGAACGAGGCACCGCCAAGAAATGCTAGCTCATCTGAAAAAGGACATGGAATTTTTGGAAAAGAGAAGCAGCGCCCAAAGAAGACGCGGCGTCAGCAGCTTTGACAGCCGGTGAGACACAGCTGGAGAGGCAAGCGGCGCACAGGCGACACCTCGCCCAGCCAGGGGATGGGGACGGGAGGCTGCAGGGTGATGCCAAGGGATGGGGTGGGGGGGCCGGGCCAGGGCTGAGCGGCCCAGAGCCAACCAGAGCCCACCCAGGAGGCGCCATGAGTTGGATAAAGTGACCACAGCAGCGGGCCCGTGGGACCCGAAGTCCAGAGCTATGGGACAGCACCTGCGCGTCCATCACCTGCACCATGTCACCGCGTGTCTGCCACCTGCCCTGGAACCAGGAGGCACAGCCCCAGTTTGAGGGGAAGTCCTGTCCATGGCACCTGGCTGGATGGGAAGGCGCTGGGGCCTCACAGTGGTGACCCCGATCCCTGAGCTGTGAGCCTTGGAAATGTAGGCCTCACATCTCAATTAACTACGTGGTAAAACAAACGCCACGCTTGTCCACGTGAGCTTCTGTGCACCGGGAGAGGAGTCTAGAAAACTGCCAAAGGGACAGAGGTCCTGGGGGGACCTGACTCGGTACCCCAATGGGACAGCGGCTTGTAGGTGGGGGACTGAGTGGGACCCCTGGTGGCTGGCTGGCACCGCACTGGGAGGGAGGGAGGCCCCCGGCCAGAGTCAGGCAGCATCAGGTCAGGCCGGCTGGACCTCCTTTCAGAAGCTGTATGTCACACCAACTACGGGCCGGAAGCCAAGCGGGGGCAGCAGAGTGAGAGAGTAGAGAAAGCTGCCCAGAAGGGAAGGCTGCTCCTCGGAGGAGTGCAGGACGGGAGGAACTATGGAGGCAGCAATGGGGTGGGGAAAGGAGCCAGGGGAAAACAGCCAGCAAGGGAGGGCCAGAGAGTGCTGGCCGAGGTGCGGCTGGACAGTGGGCGCAGAAGAGCCCGAGCGAGCGGCCCTCGTCTCCCCTTGATGCGCAGCGGTGGCGGGGGCTGCGAGGTCAGCGTTGGAACGGGGAGACTGAGAGGACCCAGGGAAGCTGGGCTGGGCTCGCCTCAGGCTGGCCTCGGCAGGGGTGCAGGAGCGGCTCCCAACTCCCCGGGGGACCCCACCACGCCTCACTCCACATGGATGAAGTCTCGGAGGTGCTGCTCCACGCCCACCAGCTTGCAGTAGTTGAGTGTGTAAGTAGCGTTTATCAGCGTGATCTTCTTCTTGTACACTTTGCCAACATCAAAGTCCTGGAGGGTTGGGGAGGCCTCAGGACAGCGAGCCTGTGGTGGCCGCGGACATCAGAGCGCGCTCTGCAGCCGAGTCCCAGGAAGGCTCCCTGGTGTCCCACCTTGCGACTGGCCCCAGGGTGCACCAAGAGCAGTGGGTGTCATGGGCTAACAGCAGGTGGGAGGAAGCAGGGACTTCAGGCTCCCATCTCATGACCTGGGCCACCTCATGGGAAGCCAGAATCGCTGCTTCATCCTTCAGCTGCCTGGGATTCTGCTGAGCCACCGAACTCAGGCCCTTCCCCAAGGAGGCCCTGTCAGCCAGGCTGGAGGATGCTGCCCGCTTTCCCAAGGTCAGGGAACGGCTCAGGGAGGCAGGCAGGCCCACCTTTTCTTTTTTTTTTTTGGAACTGGGGATTGAACTCAGGCCCTTGCGCTTGCCAGGCAAGCGCTTATTCCACTGAGCCATCTCCCTCGCCCCAAGCAGGCCCACCTTGAAGTGGATGTGCTCGGGCTTGCTGTTGAACGGGCGGCCCTTGAACTCCCGGCCGGATGCCACCTGCTTGTGGACCACCCCGCTGCGCAGTTGCTCCAGCGTGCAGGCCAGAATGTCCTTGTCCATCTTCGTCCCACCCACAGGCTTCCGGTCCATGTCCTCCTTGGGCACCTGAAGTTCACAAAAATAAGAGAGCAGCCTGTGCTGCTCCGGGGACCAGAGCCACTAGGGGCGAGGGGCAGGAAGTCCACATGCTGCTTCAGAGAGAGAAAGGAAAGGAAGCAAAGCTAAAATGTGTGTGTGGGGGGGGGCAGGTCAGTTCCTGGAAAGGATGGGGGGCTGGGGGTGTTCTAGATCACTGTGTCGGGCGAGAGACAGTTTTTGTAAAGCCTGGTAGAAATTCCTCCAGTGTTGTCACTGAAAATCGAGCCCTGGCCAGAGGGAAGGCTACCTTTAGAATGCTGTTTGCAGCCAGGACTGAGGTGCCCAGGCTGGCCCTCACCCTGTCCTGTGGTGCTGTTTAGAGTCTGCTTGGACCTGACCTCAGGGTAGGAAACTGCCTGGTCCTGCACACCCCTCAAGGGGACAGAGCAGGGATAGCTAGTGTGGCCTGTCCCTTTTGAGTCCCCAGAACCAGCAGAACCAAATGGCTTTCTTTGCCTGATAGCCATAGGAACTAATGTTTACAGAAGCTGAACTGTGGGCGACACTCCTGACGGGACACAGCTGCTGTCTGAGCCCAGGGCCGGTGCTGGGCGGGCAAGTTTGCTAAAAGACCTCCAAGTGGTGCTAAGCTCACTATTCTCCAGCACAGCCTCCCTGGCGGTGCGCAGTCAGGGCCCCTCTGTCCCTCCCGGCTGCACTCCACAGTGTGCGACTGGTTGTGGAAGCCCTGGTGGCAGAGCCCGGTAGTGACGGGTGTGTCCCACACACTAGCTCCCAGGGGCCTTCATGAGGGGAGGGGCTGAGGCTGGGGGTGGAAGGTGGTTGGGCCGGGGAGGGCACAGGGTGGCCTGGAGGAAGACCACGCTCACCTGGTACTGCCTGTGGGCCTCACTCCACAGCCCTGGGATCTCTGGCTTTGCCAAGGTCTCCTCCTCCAGGATGGTGGGCCCAGGAACCATCTGCATGGATTCACTGGAGGCCTTCAGCAGCAGCTGGGACACGGGGTCTGTCTCGATCTCCCTGTCCTGCAGGAGACAGGAGCAGGAGGCCGTGCACACAGAAACACAGCACATATGGGTACAGGAAGACCACCCCGGGGGTCCCACGGGAGCTCGGCCTGCGGAGCCCCACGTCTCCAAGTCCTCTGTGCCGTACTGGGACAGAGCCCCACATGCACACTCGGAACTTTCTCTACTTAAAATAGAACTCACTAATTTCTGCACATTGCTAAATGGTTTCTACCGGCACAGCACGCAGACACATGAGCCTTGGGTCTCTGGGGACATCTAGCAGGAGGATGCGCTGTCCCTGCCCACCTGCTTCTCTCCTGGCTTTGCTGCTCGAAGTGGCTGCGCCCTGCAAGGCCACGCAAACCTGGGGCCAGCACGTTGGCCTTGGGGCAAGCTTAAAACCATCACCGCTCTGCTTACCAGCGAGTGCCCTGCAGCCGTGGGGGCCGCCTTCCCCTCATAGAAGGCGGAGATATAGTTCCAGGTCCTGTCCCTCAGCGTCCGGAGAGCAGTGGCTTTGGCAGGCGGCCGCCGTCTCCTCTTGCGGCCCTCGTCCTGGGCCTCCTCCAGAATCCGACTGACGATCTCCCGCTTCCGAAGCTTCTGCTCCTCTTCGAAGGCCCTATCGGAAGCCCTTATCAGGAGACAGCCAGGTGCCTGCTTGGCACTGCCCAGAGCCAGGCCTGGGCCAGACCAAGGGGCAGGCAGACGGCACTGTGTGTCACACCCAGGGCTCCATGATACTAGGAGGATGATGCCCCCATAAGGAACCGGAGGCCACACTCAGGTTGACCCTCGGCAGTGCCAGCCAGGGTCAGGATCCCCGGCAGAGGGCACTGGGCACGGAGTGTGCACTTGAGGTGTGAGAGCTGGCTTTGCTAGGACCCTGGCTCAGGAAGCCCACCTGACAGCAGAGATGGGAGGCTGTGCTGAATTCCCATGAGGGAGACCAGAATGTAAAGCAAGGGCAGTGTGGGGGCCAGCAGGGGCTGCCCCAGGAGGAGGTGACGGCGGAGGGGCCAGAGAGCGACCAAGGCCCCTGTAGGAGCCGGAACACAGGGATTCTGGGTGGGTCATGGCCAAACAGCAGAGTGGGGCTGGGAGGGGCCAGGTGCCCCCTTCACAACCACTGCAGCCCATTGCCCGCACCGCCTCTGCGCCTCCAGCTCTTGGCGCCGATGCTCGTGGAAAATGTGCTTGAAGGCATCCCTGCCCTGGGCCAGGACCTCCTGCTGCTCCGCCTGGGCCAGCTGCTCCGCCTGCTCTGCCCGAGCCCGGTCCCAGGCCTGGAACTTCCGCAGTGCCTCCTGCAAAGGGGCAATGCTGCAGCTCTGGGGGCTGCACGGGCAGTGCAAGAGCACACGCGTGTGTGTGCACACGCACGCACACTACATCCACAGGTGCATACCCACCTGCACGGCTCCAGGGAATGCTCTGCAAACTCCACAGCTCTTCCCGTCTCTCCCCCCAACACCCAGCCCCAGTGTGCAGGGCTGACCCGGGCTGTGCACGCGGCCTGCCTCAGCCCTCAAGGTGCTGTGCCTGTATTCCCACATGCATGGAAGGCCAGGCCCACGCTGGCCAGGGCCCTGTGTTCCTGGGGGTCCCTCCTGTTCCTGGGCTGAGACCCCAAGCACAGGCTGGGCAGGAAGCCACAGTGCCAGCCCAGTGACTGCAGGGGTCGGCCCTGACAGGTGCCAGGGGACATGGCTGCCCTGGGCCCCACCTACCCGGTTCGAGGCAATGCTGTTCTTCAGTGCCAGCACCGCATCCATGCGCCGCTGCAGGTGCTCGTGGGACTCCAGCTTCTCCTTGCGCTCTTGCTCCCGGACCCTGGAAGAAGACGCACCATAAATGGGGACAGCAGGATGGCACGTGGGCAGTGACACTGTGGCCTCGGGTGTGCAAGGGACCCACATCCTCAGATCCCTAAGGGCTGAGACAGGAAGTGAGATCTAGAGAGGAACCCACCGGCCCAGGGAGGCCTTCAGGAACTTCACTGCCACACGGTGGTTCTTCTGGGCGTCTTCCACCAGCTTCTGGTGCCTGAGCCCCAGCTCCCTCTGCGTGTACAAGGACTTCCTGTGGTGACACAGGCGGGGGACATGGCTCCTGCTGCAGCCGCTCCGTGTTCTGGCTCTGCCAGGCCAGGAACCCTCAACGCGCAGCAGGGGGGCTGGCCCTGTGGGCACAGGCTACATAGGCAAAACAGGAGGCAAGCTGGGACAGGGCTGCCAGAAGTGGGGCTGTGAGATGGGAAGGGGTCAGCAAAGATGGGGAAACGAGGACCAGGAGGAGCAGGCAGTGAGGGGTGGACAGAGGACTGGGATGGGGGTACCGTGGGGGCTGTGGCCTGAAGCAGCTGGGTGGAAGAGGGGTACACGACGCAGGGTGGGGAAGCCAGAGGTTTGGGACAGGCCTGCACCAGCGACTCCTCAAGAGGGCACTTTTGATGTGGGGCTCAAGCCTGACCGAGAAGAAGTGGGACACCAGAGAGCCAGGGACAGCCCCCGGGGAGGTATGACTTTGCGCTGGCTCTGGTGACTGTGGCTACAGGTCCTTTAGGGAGCCTGGGCAGGCAGGGTCTGACAGGCCGGGCAGGGAAATCTTGGTGCCCAGGAGTTAGCGGGACACAGGGACCGCCCGGTGTGCCCACCGGGTCCGGAGCCGCCGGTTCCTCTCCGCCTTCCGCGAGGCCTCCTCCTCCCTGCAGAGCTGCTGGGCCGCATGCTCCCGGAGACACCGGTCCCTGGTCTGTGCCTCCTTGTGGCTGGACTTCCGGACGTCCTCCAGCTGCCCCTTCTTGATCTCAAGGTGCCACATGGCGTTCCTGGAAGACAGGGGCGCTCGCTGGGGACCGGGACCAGCCTCCAGATCTGGACCTCAGGTGCCAGGCTGTGGCAAGTGACTGAGGGGACACTGCGTGCCCCTATGACAGGTGAGCCCCCTCCAGAGAGCCCCTGTTCAACATCTCCCACCCTGGAAGGTCACCGTCCTATGACCTGCATCCAGGCTGGAGCCCAGCATTGCGCTTCCTGGGGCCCACGAGCACACATCTGGTCCAGGGCTGGGTCAGCTGAGCGCTACAGGCCTCTCTTGGCCAGAGGGAAGTGTCAGGGAAGGTGGCTGGAACTGTCTTCTGCAGGCCTGGGGGCTCCGCCGGCCCTCAGATGTGCTTGCTGTGGGCTCGGGTGGCGGCCAGCCTTGACCCTAGTTGGACAGGGGACCTGCCCGGCTTCTGTCTTGGTCAATCTGTTCTGGCCCAGGCTGCCAGCAGTGGGGGGCTGAGGGAGCACGGGGACCCCAACCTGAGGCGCAGCAGCAGCAGTGGCAGTGACCAGCACACTCACTCGCGTGTAGACACTACCTCCCCACGAGGCAGGACGGATTCGGTTCAGCTGCAGAATGCCTTGCTCACCACGGTAAAGCAAGCGTCTCATGTCCAACCAACTCGGTGCTCCCTGTCAGCTCTCAGCAGGTGCTCTGTGTCACATTGGGAAACTTCCTTCTGCTCCTGATTCGTTAAAAATGCTTCTCGAAAACCATGGCCGCAGAGTCAAGTCCCCTCCTCCCAGCGGAGGGTCACAGCGGTCACTGCCTGTGGCCCCGCTTTTCTGCAGTGCAGGGGTCCATGACCTGGCCCCTCACACTGAGCTTCACCCTAACCTCCTTTACCTTTTACTATGAGATGAGGTTGGGCCAAGGCCCTGGGTTTCCTCGGCTGTGCTAGAAATTCTGATCCTCCACCTCAACTTGGCCGGAAGACTCAGAAGCACAGGCAGCTCCAACTGGTGGGGGTCTACCCTGGGGCACAATTGGTTCCACCTCCAGAGTGACTCGCACAAAAAGACTATATAAAGGGGCTGGGAAGTAGTTGATCTTCCACTTGGGCGGAGGAACTGCAGTCTTCGTGCCCGCGTGGCTTGGACTTCATCGCCTGGCTTGCAGCACCGGCTTGGATCCTTCCCCTTCCGTCCTTCCCTCCATGAGCTAGGGACTCGCACGAAGCACTGCTGGGGACTTCAGACCTCGGGACTGAACTCCTAGGTCTGGGGTGTGCAGACGACCCCTGCACGCTCCCCCATCTGACTCTGCAGCCGTCACAAGCCAAATCTTGTAATTCCTTATACACTGTATGTCTTCTGTAATATCTGTCCTTGTACATCTGTTCCTCTAAGCAAAACGCCGACCGAGACACGGGTGCTGGGGCTGCGGGGTGCGCTGCCTGGCTCGTGGCCGCCGGGCTGCAGCCAGCCTCATGGGGCTGTGCGTAGCTCTCTCCCCAGTGCATGGACAGTGTGTGCTCAGATGCCCAGTGGCTCCTGGGTCCTGGGCGATGAGTCCCAAGTGGCCCACTGTGTGTGCCTGGTGTGCGGCCACAGCCACTGTCGCGTTTTGCCTAGGATTTCCCATCTTCTCGGGAGCTTGGTTTGTGCCCCCCTCTCGCGTGCCGGCCTCCATGTTGAGGTTTTGCAGCTTTCTGTGCAATGCAGGGCCTGCTGCAGCCTTCCCTGAGTGACACGAGGCCCGAGCTTCCTGTACTGTGGGTCACTCCTTTCCTCCAAGACCTACTCTCCCTGATCTCGACCCCACACTGGTCTACACTGGAGGCACATCGTCCTCCATCCTGCGCTGAGCGTCCTGTGGCTCTAAGGAAACCAGCTGTTCTGGGGGTGCTGCTGCTCCCCGTGCTGCGGTCTTGGGGTTTGGGTCTCTTGTTTCACAGGGAGGGTGGGGGGTGGCTGAGCCTGCTGCTGGGACAGAGCACAGGGACTCTGGGAGTTCAACATCAATGTGGCTGCCCTCCTCAGGTTCGGCATAGCCCAGGTCTGCGTGGCCCAGATGGAGGCTCCAGTGGGTTCCGGGTCTGCTGATGACCCATCCTGCACGATGGCATGGTCCAGCAGTCCTCGGGGACACACGGAATGGGTGACCTGCTGCCCTGAGTGCTTTCCCAGGGGTCCCTCGAGGTTGCATCGCCTCCCAGACCTGCACGGCCTCTGCCACCTTGTCCAGGTCAAGGTCCCCGCATGAACCCTAGAGGGACACGTGTGTTTGCGGGCTGTGGAGTGGCCAGAGGCTCAGACCTGGCCCGGCTGAGCACCCCAGTGGCCCCTCGGATAATGCCTATCCATGCCTCCCAGGGTGCTGGCCCCTCCTTCACACCCCAGCCTGGTGCTGGCAGGAGCTGAGGGGCCAGGCTCAGCATGAGCCGGAGCCCGCCAGGGCACGGGCCCGCACTTCAGCAGAGCTGGGAGCGAGTGCTAAAGACTCCTCCACCAGGCCAGGTTGTAAATCTCCTGCTTTCTTGGTGTGATATTGGTGATTTTTTAAAAAATTATTTATTTGTGTGTGTGTGTGTGTGTGTGTGTGTGTGTGTGGCCAGCTCAGCCCACCAGGGGGCGGGGCTGGCTGGCATGTGGTGCTGGGGGATTGAACTGTGGTCCCTGTGCTTTGCTAAGCTTGTTCTAAGTAGGTGCTTTAGACCACTGAGCCATCTCACCAGCCCGATATTGGTGATTGAACCCAGGGTCTTCCCACCAAGTCCTCTTTTGTTTATTGTTATTTTGTATTTTGAGACAGGGTCTCACTAAAACCTCTAAATTGCCCTGGTTGGACTCAAACTTGTGACTATCCTGCCTCAGCCTCCCACAGTGCTGGGGGCACACACATGTGCCACCTCCCACATCAGTTTCTTAATTTCTGAAGCTCTGTGTCAATTTTCATCAAGGGCCGGTGGTCCCTGGCACAGGTTCTGAGGAAAGCGGGTCGCCGGGCAGCTCTGCGGTGCTGCTGGCGTGGGCAGTGTCTTGCCTTAGTCCGCCCACGGCCACGCCTATCCTAAGCCACCTGATCCTGGCCTTCAGCTGACAACTGCCAAACTCTACACCCTTCCTGGCTTGTTGCAGCCCAGGAGAGGGGGCCCTCTGTGCTGCTAGGTGACATGCGCACCGAAGCCTCGCACGGCCCTCGTCCCAGCCAGTGTGTGCGTGGGCACCAGGGTCGCCTGGCTGAGTCATCTGCGGCTGCTTCAGTCATGCGGTCATGACTCCTCTGGAGCGGGGTGAGGCGGCCAGCATCCCTGCCACTGTAGGTGACCCACAGGTGGCAAAACCAGTTTGCCATGTCCTTCTCACAGGACCACCTTCCTTGAGGTGGCCTTTCCATTTCGAGGGATGTGGTGCAGTGGCCTTTAGGGTCACTTGAGGGTGTTGTGCAGGATCATCTGTGGTGTGGCATTTCCGTGGCAGTGCCGGATGGCTCCAAGTGGCAGTGCCATGGCAGGGTGAGCTCAAGTGGGCACCCGTGTGGATGAGTGGAGCCGAGGGGTTGAGATACCAGCAGCCCCTCAGGTCAGCAGGGGAAGGGACCTGGCATCCAGGTGCATGTCCGGGCCCTGCATGTGCAGGGTGCTGCCCCTGTGGCGGCTCAGCTCGCCAAGTGCCCTGGTCCTCTGAACCATGCAGGGTGCAGCTGGGACTGCGATCTGAGCAGGGACCGCACCTGCACTTAGCCAGCAACAGGTGGCCAGGTGCAAGGGGTTCAGGCAGCTCACGGATCTAGGGGTCCCGAGGACCAAGACCGATGGGACCACAGAAGCCCTTCACCTCATTGCATGGGTGGGGAGAGGGAAGGATCCCAGGCCAGGCCTGGGCCCACCCTGCCACACCCTGACTTTTGCCCAGAGGCCTCAGGAAGTGACAACCTGGGTACGCTGTGCTGAGGGGGCTCCCAGGGTCACAGTGTCTACATGGGCTGTGGGTTTTGCAGCAACACTGGCCTGTTCCACCCATGCCTTCCTTTCTGGAAAGCTAGCCCAGGAAGGAAGCGATCAGGAGTGGCTGGCAGTCACGTGCCTTGAAGGGCACTGGCAGAGACCTGGCCTGAGGGAATCACGGGCAGCAGCCAGTGGCTGGAGGCTTGGGGACAGGGCCGGGAGACAGAGTGAGCTAACCAGAACCAAGACAGTGTTTGCCAGGAAGGCTCCTCTGCCACTGTCATGGATCAGGGCCAGACTGTGTGGACCTCCGGGAGCCTCATCACCCCCACTGCCAGTCTTCCTTGGGGTATGGCAAGGGGCTCAACCCCCCAACCCTGCCTGTAGCCCATGGGCTGGTGCTGGTGGAATCCAGACCTGGCCAGTGGTCTCTGGAGTCACGCTGGGTCTGTCTCCTCCCCAGGGCTTCTGGATAAGCTGGGGGCCCTTGGGACCAGGGATGCAGGCTGTAAGGAAGTGCGGGGACCAGGACACGGAAGTGGACAGAGACGGGAGCTGCAGCCCCAGGAGCGGAAAGCCAGGTGGGCAGGGGAAATGCGGGGCAGCGGCCCCAGCGCCCGCTGCCTCCCTGGTGTCAGCCCCAGCCCCACGCTGCTTCAGGGTCACACAAGGCATGGACTCCTCCGCCCACCAGCTCCACCAACTCACTCGCTCTCCTGCAGCACGGCCCCGAGTGTTGACTGCAGGACATGCTCATCCTCTAGTTCCAAGCACAGGCGACAGGATGCGGCCTGCAGGCGGCCCACGGCTGCCCTGCCAGTGACAGGAGAGTGCAGGTTGGCCCTGGAGAAGGTGGGGCTGTCCTGGAGCCTGCCCCTGCCCTGCTGGCCCCGCGCAGCTCCCAGCTTTCTCCCAGCTTCCTCCTGGGGGGGGGGTCTGGAAGCCAAACTCCTCACTCCCGGGCCCCCGGAGGGACCCAGTGCACCCTGAAACACGGCCATGCCTGTTGACCCGAGCCACTGAGCTCAGCCTGGGCCCACTTCCCCCCGGGCTGCAGCGTTCCCTGGGTGCCATCCAGCCGGAGCTCACGGCTCCCCTGAGCTCCAGCTGCACAGCAGGGTGAGTGGCATTGGGGTCCCTGGGTCCCTGTGCAGAAGGGCCTGAGTAACATGACAAGAGGACGTGCCACGTGGACGCTGCAGCTCAGAGCCCCCTCCTAGGCTGTGGTGCCCGCAAGTGGGCTGCAAGCAATGGGTCAGGCTTAGAGTCCTCTGCAGACCCCGTGTTGCTGCACCCTACACCCAGGCAGGTGCTCAACCCCAGGGAGGAGCCAGGTGTATCCCAGGGGAGTGCATCAGTCCCTATCTCGCCAGCTGGCTTCTGACCCCACCCTCTGGTCCCCCACCTCTGGCCCCGCATCCCGGCCCACGGATGCGCACATGTTGTTGCGTTTCCTCTCCCGAGCGACCTCAGCAGCCACGTTTGCCTGCTGCTTGCTCAGCAGGTCCATCCTGTGACGACAGGCACACAGCTCCCTCCTACAGTGAGAAGCAGGGTGGGTCCCTGAAGCTCCACCCTGAGGGGGCACCAAGGCAGGTCCCTCCTGCCTCCCCTGCCTGCACTGGGGCTGTGAGCCCTGCGTCCTCCTGGGGTCTCTGCCATGGGGCAGCACAAGCATAGCCTTACCCATCCTTTCCTGAAAAGCCCTGAGATGACATCATGACGTCTGGGCGCCATGTGGGGGCCTGGAGGTGCCCTGGGTTACACAGGCTGGGGCCTCTGGGTGCCGGGCTTGGGCAGGTCCCCATCCTGCTTTGGGGCTCCCCTTGGTTGAGGGCAACAGAATTCAACCCAGCAGCACTCTGGCTCGGAGCGGGTGGAGGTGCTGTGTTCGGGCGGCCGCAGGCTCACCGGGTCTTCTGGAGGAACAGGTCCTTCTCTTCCTGCTCCTTGTCCAGGAGGTCCAGGCTCCTGCGCAGCTGGGACGCCTGCACCCTGTCTCTGGCAGTGGCCAGCGTCTTCGCTTTCTGGGTATCAGGGCTTCTCTCCTTCCCGGGACTTGGAATGAAACAGATGGTAGCTGCCGCCCACCCTGTCCAGGCCTACGTGCCTCGGGCATCTGCGCCCGTGGTTCCACGTCCCACTGCAGGAGCTGCACTTGCAGGTGCGGAGTAGCTCCCCTTCCCCCAAGAATTACCAGGGGTGGCTGCGGGCAGCAGTGTTCTCCATTCCCAGAGGACATTTCACCCCAAACTCTTCATTCTCTAATTCGTCTACTTCTAGAAATCAACGCAGGAAGAGTTAAAACAAACAAACCAACAAACCAGCTGGGGATGGTGGTGTGTACCTGTAACCCTAGCACTGGGGAGTTCGAGGCAGGAGGATGGCCAGGGCTTTAAGCCCAGCCTGGGCTACGCTGTACAAGTCTCTTTCAAAAACAAGTGCCTGGGGCCAGGGAGATGGCTCAGTAGAATAAGCGCTTCCCTGGCAAATGCAAGGGCCTGAGTTTAATCCCTAGTTCCCCCCACACACACACACACAAAAGCCTGACAACCAAAAACTAAAAAAAAGTAAGCAGGCAAACAGCAGATCAAACACTCAAGTCTCAAACTGAATGAGCAAAGAAATTCTCAAAGCAGGGGCCAGGGAACCAGGGGGTCCCAAGACTCCTTCGGGTAGGAGGACTGCAAGTTCAAGCCCAGCCCAGGCAACATGACAATTCATCAGTGTAACCCTGTCTCAAAATAAACAAGTAAAAAAGGCTGGCAAGTGCTCTGTGTCAATCCCCAGTCCTGGAAAAAAGAAGTAGAGGGGTTTGCTGGAATCCTTGTCTTAGGAAATCGCTACAGACTTCCAGCAACACATAGCAAGGTGAACTGTGGGCTCATGGCCACACAACCCATCTTTGTAAAAATGACTGAGAAGGAATTTTAGAAAGCACGGAGCTGCGGAGCTGACCACCACAGGGGCACGGGAGTGGGAAGAAGTGGCTGGCAGAGGCCACACCAACCCGTGGGCAGCACAGGGCGTGGTACCCTAGAACCAAACTGGGAGCCACTCGGGCCAGAACCTGGGGCCCTTGCTGGAACGTTGCGTAAGGTCCAGCCTGAGACTCCAATGAAGGACATCTCCAAAAGAGTTCAGATCATCAGAAACTTTAAGAAAAAAATCTAAATGCTTCCAGAAGTAGAAAATAAAAAGAGGTCAATTAACGAGCTGGGATAAAAAGGTACTCAACTTCTCCACAGTGATGCCAAGAACTAGAAAACTACAGTGTCTCTTTCAAAATTCTCAGCCATTATTTATCTTTTTTCAAATGAAGCCAGTGGACCCCCCCCCCCAAGGCGCAGTGTGAATCTAAGCGACACAGTCTCCCCGCAATAAAGGACTCGGGAGCAGTCCCAGCCTGGCGTCTTTGCTGTGGGAGAGAGGTGTCTTGGCTACTACCATCCTTCAAGATGCCGTCCATGTCGGTGAACAGGCCAGCGTCTTCTTCCATCCTGGGAGCAGAAGTTAGCTGTGAAAAAATCATCACGAAATGTAGGTTAACAAGAACACAAAACAAAGAAAAGCCCAGAAGTTTGCCGTACAGGAATTCATGGTCTCCCTGAGAAGACATTAAAGCTGGGCGTGGTGGCGCACACCTTGATCCCGGCACAGGGGGCTGGGGAGGCCCGGGCAGGGCTGCTGCAAACTCAAGGCCAGCCTTGGCTGCAAAGCGAGCTCAGAGCAACCCTGAACTGCACAGTGACACGCCGTCTCAAAAAGACAAGCAAAAACACCCACAACTAAAAAGACATTAAGAAATTGAGTAGATGAGCTAGCTGAACCACACACCAGGACAACAGTGTCTGCAGCACAGGCGTCTGACAAAGATCGTGATAGGCAGGACACCCAAGGATCCAGCCAGAGCTGAAGTTTGGAAAAAAATCCTCCAAATTTGGCCACAGAAGCAGGCAGCCAGAGAAGCCTGCTGCTCGCTGGCGCACCCTGGTGCCTTGCGAGTGGCGCTGATTTCCGTCGTCGTGGAGGAGAAGGGGTGCTGCAGGCCGCAGCCAAGTCTCTGCACTCGGAGGCCGTTTCCAGGAGACGCACTTACACCTTCCCGTTCCCAGTGACTTCGTCCACTGCCTTTGTCCCGAGCAGAGCTGGCCTCAGGTGGGGTGAAGCAGTAGGAGTGAGTGCTGGGGGCCATGCAGTAGGGCCCCTTCCACGCCAAATGAAGCGTGGGGTGGGCAAGTCCCTCTGGGGGAGCACAGCCCCCTCCTCTGCTCTTGGCCGGGGCTCCTGAGGCTCCCTGTCCTGCACGGCTCCATCCGCCCATCCACGTGCCCTTCCGTTGTTCTAGTGGCTTCTAACTGAAGCACACTGCTCCGAGGGAGTTACAGGACGGCGAATGGCTCCACTCTTGAATTTTCAGCTTGTTCTCTGCAATAAGCCTCTTTGATGTCCAGGATGCAGCTTGGGGAGTGCGCGTCCCTGCTGTTACTGAGAGGTCTACGAAGGGGACTTGGGAGCAGGACACTGTGTGTGCCGTCCCTGTGGGCCGCGTGGCTGGCTGTGCACTGGTGGGCACTTAGACGGCCGAGCTAATCTCCCCAGCCCAACACTGGAAGATTCTTTGCTCGGCACAGACGGGTCTCAAGGACACGGCAGAGGCTGTGCGGGGTGTCCCTCAGGTGGCGAAGCAGGAGCAGGCCATGGGCTCTCCCACGTGGAGACGGGACCCAGAGCCGAGGCCTGACTCTCCCTCGGGGCCACCCTCGGCAGGTGACCAGCCAGGAAGCGACAAGTGCTGGATAAAGTCACATCTTCATTTTCTTGAAAAAACACGAAGAACTTACAAAACACCAGGAAACCGCCAAGCTAAAATCCAAGTGACGGCAAGAATACAGATGGCCTAAGTGGCCAAGATCAAGGCGAGTATCTTCTCTAACTGGATTTGTAAAAAACAGTAACAAAGCCATAAAAGAGACACTAAAATCCATGCTTGGGGCCCCGGATACGCCTAGGGCACAGCCCCTGCTTGGCAAGCGTGCGGTCGTGAGTTTGAGTCCCACTACCAAAAATAAAGGAATAAATAAATTTGAATAAAAAAAAATAAACCCGCGCTTACACGGCTGCACTGTATGTCTAAGCCAGAAAGAGCAGCCCCGCGCAGCAAGTCCGAGCAGGAGGAGCCAGCAGCTGCCTAGCAACAGGCCGCGCTCCCAGTCCCAGCTGTGCCCGGCCGGGCGCCACCCAGGCCACACTGGGGACACACACCGAGGGCAGGGCCGCGCTCAGCGTGGGGCCCTCACTGGTGGGGCCAACTCTGCCCGCTCGGGAATAGCGCCACTAAAACCCGACTTTCCATTGACATGTTCAGAAAAACGCAGCAAGCTCCATAAGAGATGCGTGTCTATCGTGAAGCCAGGAGAGGACACGGCCAGCGGTAGCCCGTGGCAGGCCCTCGGGAGCTGGGCAGGCCCAGGGCCACGGACAAGGACACGGCCCTCTGCACGGGTGCCGCCCAGGAGCACGCAGCCCGCCGGTCCTCGGTGGGGCGGGCCCGGGCGGCTTGCCACTTTATTTTACTTTTGGTTCTATTACACAGCACAGTGAATAGTCAAGAACCGAGCACCGCACATTTTTAAACTGCCGAGAGGAAATTCCAAATGTTCTCGTAAAACGTGAAGCATCTGAGGTGATAGATATGTTAGCTTAGTTACTCCACATTGTATCCATAAAAATGTCACTTTGTACCCCATAAACATACACAAAAATTATCAGTGTGGATTGTTTTTTTTTT